ACTCCACTCCAATCCTCTCCACTCCACTCCACTCCAATCCAATCCAATCCAATCCAATCCACTCCACTCCACTCCACTCCACTTCAATCCAATCCACTTCACTCCACTCCAATCCAGTCCACTCCATTCCACTCCAATCCACTGCACTCCACTCCACTCCAGTCCTCTCCACTCCACTCCACTCCACTCCAATCCAATCCACTCCACTCCACTCCACTACAATCCACTCCACTCCAATCCAGTCCACTCCACTCCATTCCAATCCACTGCACTCCACTCCACTCCACTCCAGTCCTCTCCACTCCACTCCACTCCACTCCAATCCAATCCACTCCACTCCACTCCACTCCAATCCACTCCACTCCACTCCACTCCACTCCACTCCACTCCACTCCACTCCACTCAACTCCAATCCACTCCACTCCACTCCACTCTACTCCAATCCACTCCACTCCACTCCACTCCAATCCAATCCAATCCACTCCACTCCACTCCACTCCACTCCACTCCACTCCACTCCACTCCAATCCAATCCACTTCACTCCACTCCAATCCACTGCACTCCACTCCAGTCCAGTCCTCTCCACTCCACTCCACTCCACTCCAATCCAATCCACTCCACTCCACTCCACTCCAATCCACTCCACTCCACTCCACTCTACTCCAATCCACTCCACTCCACTCCACTCCACTCCACTCCACTCCACTCCACTCCAATCCAATCCACTCCACTCCAATCCTCTCCAGTCCACTCCACTCCTGTCCTCTCCACTCCACTCCACTCCACTCCAATCCAATCCACTCCACTCCACTCCAATTCACTGCACTCCACTCCACTCCAATCCTCTCCACTCCACTCCACTCCAATCCAATCCAATCCAATCCAATCCACTCCACTCCACTCCACTCCACTTCAATCCAATCCACTTCACTCCACTCCAATCCAGTCCACTCCATTCCACTCCAATCCACTGCACTCCACTCCACTCCAGTCCTCTCCACTCCACTCCACTCCACTCCACTCCACTCCACTCCACTCCAATCCAATCCAATCCACTCCACTCCACTCCACTCCACTCCACTCCACTCCACTCCACTCCACTCCACTCCACTCCACTCCACTCCAATCCAATCCACTCCACTCCACTCCAATCCACTTCACTCCACTCCACTCCAGTCCTCTCCACTCCACTCCACTCCACTCCAATCCAATCCAATCCACTTCACTCCACTCCAATCCAGTCCACTCCATTCCACTCCAATCCACTGCACTCCACTCCACTCCAGTCCTCTCCACTCCACTCCACTCCACTCCAATCCAATCCACTCCACTCCACTCCACTCCAATCCACGCCACTCCACTCCACTCCACTCCACTCCACTCCACTCCACTCCACTCCACTCCACTCCACTCCACTCCACTCCACTCCACTCAACTCCAATCCACTCCACTCCACTCCACTCTACTCCAATCCACTCCACTCCACTCCACTCCACTCCACTCCACTCCACTCTACTCCACTCCATTCCACTCCACTCCACTCCACTCCACTCCAATCCAATCCACTCCACTCCACTCCAATCCACTCCACTCCACTCCACTCCACTCCAGTCCTCTCCACTCCACTCCACTCCACTCCAACCCAATCCACTCCACTCCACTCCACTCCAATCCAATCCAATCCACTCCAATCCAATCCACTCCACTCCACTCCAATTCACTCCACTCCACTCCACTCCAATCCTCTCCACTCCACTCCACTCCACTCCAATCCAATCCACTCCACTCCACTCCACTCCACTACAATCCACTCCACTCCAATCCAGTCCAGTCCACTCCATTCCAATCCACTGCACTCCACTCCACTCCACTCCAGTCCTCTCCACTCCACTCCACTCCACTCCAATCCAATCCACTCCACTCCACTCCACTCCAATCCACTCCACTCCACTCCACTCCACTCCACTCCACTCCACTCCACTCCACTCAACTCCAATCCACTCCACTCCACTCCACTCTACTCCAATCCACTCCACTCCACTCCACTCCACTCCACTCCACTCCACTCCACTCCACTCCACTCCACTCAACTCCAATCCACTCCACTCCACTCCACTCTACTCCAATCCACTCCACTCCACTCCACTCTACTCCAATCCACTCCACTCCACTCCACTCCACTCCACTCCACTCTACTCCACTCCATTCCACTCCACTCCACTCCACTCCACTCCAATCCAATCCACTCCACTCCACTCCAATCCACTCCACTCCACTCCACTCCAGTCCTCTCCACTCCACTCCACTCCACTCCAACCCAATCCACTCCACTCCACTCCACTCCAATCCAATCCAATCCACTCCAATCCAATCCACTCCACTCCACTCCAATTCACTCCACTCCACTCCACTCCAATCCTCTCCACTCCACTCCACTCCACTCCAATCCAATCCACTCCACTCCACTCCACTACAATCCACTCCACTCCAATCCAGTCCACTCCACTCCATTCCAATCCACTGCACTCCACTCCACTCCACTCCAGTCCTCTCCACTCCACTCCACTCCACTCCAATCCAATCCACTCCACTCCACTCCACTCCAATCCACTCCACTCCACTCCACTCCACTCCACTCCACTCCACTCCACTCCACTCAACTCCAATCCACTCCACTCCACTCCACTCTACTCCAATCCACTCCACTCCACTCCACTCCAATCCAATCCAATCCACTCCACTCCACTCCACTCCACTCCACTCCACTCCACTCCACTCCAATCCAATCCACTTCACTCCACTCCAATCCACTGCACTCCACTCCAGTCCAGTCCTCTCCACTCCACTCCACTCCACTCCAATCCAATCCACTCCACTCCAATCCAATCCAATCCACTCCAATCCAATCCACTCCACTCCACTCCAATTCACTCCACTCCACTCCACTCCAATCCTCTCCACTCCACTCCACTCCACTCCAATCCAATCCACTCCACTCCACTCCACTACAATCCACTCCACTCCAATCCAGTCCACTCCACTCCATTCCAATCCACTGCACTCCACTCCACTCCACTCCAGTCCTCTCCACTCCACTCCACTCCACTCCAATCCAATCCACTCCACTCCACTCCACTCCAATCCACTCCACTCCACTCCACTCCACTCCACTCCACTCCACTCCACTCCACTCAACTCCAATCCACTCCACTCCACTCCACTCTACTCCAATCCACTCCACTCCACTCCACTCCAATCCAATCCAATCCACTCCACTCCACTCCACTCCACTCCACTCCACTCCACTCCACTCCAATCCAATCCACTTCACTCCACTCCAATCCACTGCACTCCACTCCAGTCCAGTCCTCTCCACTCCACTCCACTCCACTCCAATCCAATCCACTCCACTCCACTCCACTCCAATCCACTCCACTCCACTCCACTCTACTCCAATCCACTCCACTCCACTCCACTCCACTCCACTCCACTCCACTCCACTCCACTCCAATCCAATCCACTCCACTCCAATCCTCTCCAGTCCACTCCACTCCTGTCCTCTCCACTCCACTCCACTCCACTCCAATCCGATCCACTCCACTCCACTCCAATTCACTGCACTCCACTCCACTCCAATCCTCTCCACTCCACTCCACTCCAAACCAATCCAATCCAATCCAATCCACTCCACTCCACTCCACTCCACTTCAATCCAATCCACTTCACTCCACTCCAATCCAGTCCACTCCATTCCACTCCAATCCACTGCACTCCACTCCACTCCAGTCCTCTCCACTCCACTCCACTCCACTCCAATCCAATCCACTCCACTCCACTCCACTCCAATCCACGCCACTCCACTCCACTCCACTCCACTCCACTCCACTCCACTCCACTCCACTCCACTCAACTCCAATCCACTCCACTCCACTCCACTCTACTCCAATCCACTCCACTCCACTCCACTCCACTCCACTCCACTCTACTCCACTCCATTCCACTCCACTCCACTCCACTCCACTCCAATCCAATCCACTCCACTCCACTCCAATCCACTCCACTCCACTCCACTCCAGTCCTCTCCACTCCACTCCACTCCACTCCAGTCCAATCCACTCCACTCCACTCCACTCCAATCCAATCCAATCCACTCCAATCCAATCCACTCCACTCCACTCCAATTCACTCCACTCCACTCCACTCCAATCCTCTCCACTCCACTCCACTCCACTCCAGTCCAATCCACTCCACTCCACTCCACTACAATCCACTCCACTCCAATCCACTCCACTCCACTCCACTCCACTCCACTCCACTCCACTCCACTCCACTCCACTCCACTCCAATCCAATCCACTCCACTCCACTCCAATCCACTCCACTCCACTCCACTCCACTCCAGTCCAGTCCTCTCCACTCCACTCCACTCCACTCCAATCCAATCCACTCCACTCCACTCCACTCCACTCCAATCCACTCCACTCCACTCCACTCCGCTCCACTCCACTCCACTCCACTCAACTCCAATCCACTCCACCCCACTCCACTCCACTCCAATCCACTCCACTCCAGTCCAGTCCACTCCACTCCACTCCACTCCACTCCACTCCACTCCACTCCACTCCACTCCAATCCACTCCACTCCACTCCACTCCACTCCACTCCACTCCACTCCACTCCTCTGCACCCCAATCACCACCGCATCTGGTCGCAACTGTCAATCCTGCTCCTCTCTCTGCCATTTGCCCCTCCCTCTGCTGTCTGCCGTCCCTCCCTTCACTGCGTGCATCATTCCTCTCCATCTGCTCCCTCCCTATGCATCGACCTACCCCTCTCTCTGCTACCTGCCCCGCCCTCCCCCCCCTTGGCATGGCCTCTCTCAGGTGGTGCCCTTCACTCCCAGTGCAGGTGACTTTTGAGTCGACTCAGAATAACACCTTTTTCTGCCTCCCTCTGCCCCCACCGCTCCTCCTTTCCCCCCCCTTGGCACGGCCTGTCAGGTGGTGCCATTCACTCCCAGCGCAGGACTACTTGAGTGGGTGGATGGCACGCTGCCGCTTGGGGAGTACCTTCTAGGAAGGTGCGTGGGCAAGGCCAAAGCACGGGCCCGCAGTGGCGCTCAGCTGTCTGTCGTGTGTGCATGCAGGCAGGCACTTGCATTGCATCAAGGTGTCTTTTGAGTTGACTGGCTGGTTTATGTGCATGCAGGCAGGCACTTACATGTAGGTGGTGCGACTGCATAGCATGCACATGTGATCTCCCTCTTTGCTTTTGTATATGCTGCAAGCCTTGCTCGCGTGTGTTCCCACTTGCCATGTGGATCCACATGTGAACAATGTCGCTTGCTGCTCACATCGGTCTGTCTGACTCTCTTCACACCTTCTGCCCCATGGCCCACACACCTCTCTTCCCCTGCCTCGCTACCATGCACACCCCATGTGGCCAGTTCACACGAGGGAGGGGCACAGCTCCCTTGTTCCCAAATCTCTCCCACTTTTTGCCCCATGGCCTGCTAACATTTCTTCTCCTCATTTCGCCCCCATCCTCTCCCTCCCCACCCATCCATGCGGCCAGCACTCGCAAGGGAGGGGCACACGCACGCTACGGGGGCTCTGATTGGCCCTTCATGACATGCCGTGAAGTGATGTCGCGGGTGAGATGGGATGGCATGGGTGAGATGCGATGCGATGTGATGCGATGTGATGTGATGTGATGTGATGTGACGTGAGGTGACGTGACGTGACGTGACGTGATGCGATGTGATGTTGCGGGTGAGATGGAATGGCGTGTGTGAGATGTGAACGGCACCCGTTTGACCAGGTTCGAGCTGTGGGCCAGTAGTACATCAGCCTTGCACTTTATCGTGACTCCACCATTGCGTAATTCAGCGTTGATTCGGCATTAGTTACTTGCTAGTAGAACCTTGTTTACTCTACCCCTGATTTTCCTCGAACCCTCCACTCCCTCGTTCCCCTCTATTCCTTCACCCCTCACTGCTCATATCTGCATCCATCCATGCTCAGGAAAGCGACAAGAGGCAAGCGTTTGACAAGGTTCTTCAGAACTTTCAGTAAGCCCCTATCTCCTCACAAATTAGCAAAATCCGTTTGCGAATCAAATGCACCTCCCCTTTCTCCTCGCCTCACACTGAGCCCCTGCCTGTCGCCTTACTGTTACATCTGTATCATGTGAAGGTAGGTCACGTGGGTTGGAGTGTCATCCTTGTCCTCCTGGTAGTCAAACGATCCCAGTGGTGCTGTGCTGGCCCAACTGCCATCGTCACCCTCTAAACTGTTCCACCCTTCTCCATTCCCTTCCACCCCTTTCCATCCCCTTCCACCGCTCCCCAGCCCTGTGATGCGCCACTTCTTCCTGGAGCGCTTCATGCTGCCTGCTGACTGGTTTGACCGCCGCCTCACGTACACTCGCAGCGTGGCCGCCACCTCCATGGTACGGATTTCACCTTTATGGTAAGCAATAATGCATGGTTCCCAACTGTGCATAGCAAAGGCAGCTTCTTCCATGGTACGCATGACATGCCACCTCCATGGTACGCATGACATGCCACCTCCATGGTACGCATGACATGCCACCTCCATGGTACGTGCCTTCCATCGGCACAACACATGCATGCGAAGAAGGATTTTAAGACCCCTCGCACTGCAGTCCGGTCATATAGAAGCCAAGAGTGAAGAATGGAACGCAGATGTACCTTAGGTTGAGCTTTGACCACGATTAGGGTAGAAAGCATTGAACGCGTGGTGAACCGCTGGGTGAGAAACTGTTTGTTTCTTGTATCATCTCACCACGAGGCACTTAGCTATTTCTCACTCACTGCTCCATCGTGTTCGTAAAAATGCACTTCCAACCTATCCACGTCTCTGCTTCCCCCTGTCCAAGCCCAGCCATTCATCCCTATTGACCCTCGTGGGCCACTCACCTGCCTTGTGTGCTGAACGGCAGGTGGGTCACGTGGTGGGGCTGGGCGACTGGCACTGCACCACCTCACCCTTGTCGTGAAGCATGTAACCATTGTGGCCCACCTGACCCACCTGTTGTGCCCCACCTGTCCTACCTTGTGTGCTCTATTCTACGGCAGGTGGGGTACGTGGTGGGGCTGGGCGACCGGCATGCGATGAACATTCTGCTGGACGAGCGATCAGCAGAGGTGATTCACATCGACCTGGGGATTGCGTTCGAGCAGGGACTCATGCTTAAGACGCCTGAGAAGGTGAGGTGTGTGGGTGTGTGTGTGTGGGTGTGTGTACGTGGGTGAGTGTGTTCTCATGTCACATCACTGGAATGCATATGCGTTGTGCAACATACAGGTCGACTCTTTAACGGCCTGGTTTGTGAGAGATGCATCAGGTGGGATTAGGTCACTCCATTCTCCTGTTCCTTGTCAAGTTGTGAATCCACTCAACACCACGCTGAGCTGATTCGCTTTCTCACTCCCATGAGCTTCCCACACATGGCCTCCTGTGTGGACCATTGTGCCCCACACAGGAACATCATTGACGGCATGGTCGTGGAGCGGTTTTTGAGTCGACTAAAAAACAGACTCGCTGCACGCGGATTTTGAGTCGACTCAAAAACAGCTTCCCACACACGGCAGGGACCATTGTGCCCCACACGAGACATCATTGACGGCATGGTCGTGGAGCGGCGTGGAGGTTTGTTCCGGTGCCCTGCTTACTCCTACCTCGTGCTCTCCCAATTCCCACACTCATGACACGGCAGGTGTCATTCCGTCTCACGCCGAACATTGTCGATGGCATGGGTGTGAGCAGTGGGAGGGGTTGTTCTGTTCCAGCACCCTTCTTACTGATGCCACACATGTACCCTTGCAATTCACACACTCATGACACGGCAGGTGCCATTCCGTCTCACGCCGAACATTGTCGATGGCATGGGTGTGAGCAGTGGGAGGGGTTGTTCTGTTTCAGCACCCTTCTTACTGATGCCACACATGTACCCTTGCAATTCACATACTCATGACACGGCAGGTGCCATTCCGTCTCACGCGGGACATCATTGACGGCATGGGTGTGAGCGGCGTGGAGGGGGTGTTTCGGCGCTGCTGTGAGACGGTGCTGGCGGTGATGCGGGAGAACAAGGAGGCACTGTTGACCATTATTGAGGTGAGTGCAGTGAGTGATGTGAGATTACTGATCAGCATCAAGTGCGTGTTCTAGTCAGTGCTGCCGTCACAGGAACCGGTGCACCCACACTATTCAACGCTTCTGTGAGACAGTGCTGGCAGTGATGCAGGAGAACAAGGAGGCGATGCAAAAAAAATTGTGCCTGAGTGACGACTTTTGAGGCGCGTCAGGAGTCGCTCCTCTACCCCCAAGGGGGAGGCGCTGCTGACCATCATTGAGATGAGTGGAGTGAGTGATGTGAGATTCTGATCGGGAGCAAGTGCATCCATTTTAGTCAGTTTAGGAAGCATGTTTCCCCCTGCCGCCCTGTGTGCCCCTGCTACCCTGTGTGCCCCTGCTACCCTGTGTGCCCCTGCTACCCTGTGTGCCCCTGTCGCCCTGTGTGTCTTGCTGCAGGTGTTCATCTATGATCCGCTTTACAAGTGGGCCCTCTCTCCGCTTAAGGCGCTGCATCGGCAGAAGGTCCCTTCTTGCCCTCACCTTACACACTCATTGCACCTCTCCATTACACTCAAGTGATCTCATCTCACTAAACCCTTAATTCTTTCACCAGTTTCCACTTGCTCGTGCATTGTTACCAAGCTACCATGCCATCTCTCTCAATTTCTTACTGGTAAATTCTCAATCCGTGGCACTGCACCCATGCCACTGCATGTGTGGCTCTGCACTCGTGGCACTGCACGCATGCCACTGTGTGTTTGGCACTGCACGGGTGCGCAGATGGAGGAGAGTGAGGAGGCGATGGAGGAGGAGGGGACGGAGGAGGAGAGCGGCACAGCGATGGAGGGCAACGAGGAGGCCACGAGAGCACTGCTGCGAGTCAAGCAGAAGCTGGATGGCTTTGAGGACGGCGAGATGCGTAGCCTGGCCGGGCAGGTGAGGCATAATGGCCGGGCAGGTGGGGCAGCATGGCCGGGCAAATAGGCCAGGTAGAGCAGTATGTAACTGTCGAAATGAGTGCAACAACGATCTTCTGTATGGTAATGCCCGCCTTTTCCCATCGCCTTCAGCCTGCAGCTCTGTTTGGCCCCTCACCCCTGCTCCCCATCCCTGGCCTGCATTTCCCATCACTGCACTTATTCACTGCACTGCTGTGCTCCACTCTGCTGCCACCAGGTGCAGCAGCTGATCAAGGACGCACAGGACCCAGACCGCCTTGCCGTCATGTTTCCAGGATGGGGAGCTTGGCTGTAGCATGGTGGCAATAGCTGTAGCATGGTCGTAATTGTCAATAAACTGAACGAGAATGAATGCATTGAGCATAAAGTTGGTACAAGTACTAACCCTAATTGGGTTGTACCCCTTATGGGCTACCCCACTACAGTCTACACAATATAAGCATTATGACATTTTGACACACCCCCATATGCAAAGTGGGGGAAAACAAGTGGTCACAAGACCAGTCAAGAAACGCAAAACAAGCTCAGGGTGGATCACGAAGTCACCACACATTCCGAGCACAATCAAATGGCCACAAGGCCAATTCACTTGCAGAGTTATATAAAAGAGAACAAACAGTACAGTGATCATAACCTAGCAAGTGTAACCATGCAGGTATATATATATAGATCACAGTACAAGCAAAGTCACGCAGTGAGTAAGTGAGGCAAAGTAGGCACAAGGCCTAAAACATTACAGAAACGCTGATGATCACCAGGCTGAAGTGCCTTGGTTAATATATCAACAGTGCTGGCCTGACTGGCCACGTAAACAAGACGAAGCTTACCACGCTGCTGCAACTCTCGAGCAAGAAAGTAACGCAGAGCGATGTGCTTCGTCCTGTGCTCCAGTCTGTGCTCCTCACACAAGGCAATCATGGCTTTGTTGTCTACATACAGAACTGGAGGAGAACGAGGCCGCTCTCCCAAGTCGGTCAGCAGGTACGTGAGCCAGCGTAACTCCTGTGCAGCCATGCACCCTGCGTAGATCTCAGGCTCACAACTGGAACTGGGAAAAGAAGACGAGCGGGTAGACCTCCAAGAAACAGAGCCGGAGCCAAGACTGAAATTGTAACCCTGTGACGACCGCTGCGTAGCCAAGTCGTCAACCCAAGACGCGTCTGCGTGTCAAGTGAGGACAACTGGACCCCGTCCTCCAAGCACGAGCCCCATGCCCGATGTACTGCACAAGTAGCGCAACACCCTCTTCGCGGTCTCCCTGTGCTCTGGTCGGTGTCTCCCGGGCGCAACGTAGCGTGCCAGGATGCTAAGAGGGTAGGCAAGGTCAGGTCAAGTGCAGGTCATCAGGTACATGAGGCAACCCACAAGCTCTGGATACGGGCCACTCGGTTCTACAGACTCATTCAAAAGTGGAGCTGAGAGCGAGTGACCGGTAGGCAGAGGAGTGGACTGTGGTGAGGAGTACCGGAAGCCGAAGCGCTGAAGGACCTGGTGCACCATGTGTGACTGAGTCAGGGTGATGGTGCGCCGTGCTCTGTCCCGGGTGATATGCAAGCCAAGATAGCTACGCAGCTCACCCTGGTCATTGCATGTGTATCTCTTCTGCAGCTCTGACTTCACTAGGGCCAGTGCCTCAGTGTCAGTAGTGGCAAAAACCAAGTTGTCGACGTACACGAAGATGTAGAACGGCGGCAGCGAAGTGTCGGTGCGTAGAAATAGCGACGGGTCAGCAGTCGAAGGAGAAAACCCAAGAGCCACAAGCGTCATCCTCAGTGTGTCGTGCCACACGCGAGACGCCTAGCGGAGACCGTAGACTGGCCACCGGAGGCTCCACTGGGTACATGAAGGAAACGACCCAGTGAAGCCAGTTGGGCGGCGCAGCCAGACCTCCTCGTTCAGGCTGCCCTGTAAGAAAGATGTGCTGAAGTCAAGAGAGTGAAGCTCGTAGTCACGCTGAGCGGCGACGTGCAGCAGCACCCGAAGAGTGGTTATCTTCCGGGTAGGGGAGAAGGTATGGAAGACAGTCAGGCTCAGAATCAGCAACAATACTAGCCGCGTAGTCAAGACGTCAGGCCGCAGCAAAGTCAACAAGCTCAGCAACTAGGGCAGACGCAGCAGCGGACTCAAACGAAGGGTCAATTATAACAGTGGCTAGAAGACGTGTGACTGTAGGACTGGCAGCACGAACTAAGTCAGACTCAGGGTCCGGACCATCAGCAAGAGAGGACGCAGGAGGAGACAGCAGGGGAACTAGCAGTGGAACAGAGGAAGGATGAAGTGCCATAATGTGAGTGCCGGGGATAGGAGGAGGATGCAGACAAGGAACACGACGACCAGTGCGAACAGCGCGAACAGGCGAGGCAGGACGAGACTCAGGCTCACAACGCTCTGTAAGAGAGTCTGTCTGCTCAGCGTAAGGAGAAGGAGTAGGCAGTGGGGAGTCTGGCTGTAAATGTGGCTGCGACTGGTGAGGCGGTGGACACAGTAAGCGAGGAGTAAGGCCAGTAGAAGACGGGAGACTAAGAACCTGGCAAAGGACCGAGCCAGGTGGCGGTAGAGACGACAGCGGTGGCGGAACGAAAAACGGTCGCCACTGCACAGTGCCTCCAGCACCAGTACCGCCAGCTCCTGCACCCCCAATGCCAGCACCTCCAGCTCCAGGGTCTCCAGCTCCAGTGCCTTTAGCTCCAGTGCCTCCAGCTCCAGCTCCTCCAGCTCCAGCACCTCTTGCGCCAGTGCCTCCAGCTCCAGCGCCTCCAGCTCCAGTGCCTCCAGCTCCAGCTCCTCCAACTCCAGCGCCTCCAGTGCCAACGCCTCCAGCTCCAGGGTTTCTAGCTCCAATGCCGCCACCTCCAGGCTCTCCAGCTCCAGTGCCTCCAGCTCCAGGGTCTCCAGCTCCAGGGTCTCCAGCTCAAGTACCTCCAGCTCCAGAGTCTCCAGCTCCAGTGCCTCCAGCTCCAGCGCCTCCAGCTCCAGTGCCTCCAGCTCCAAGGTCTCCAGCTCGAGCGCCTCCAACACCACCAACTCCAGCAGCTCCAGTACCTCTAGTACGAGCACCTCCAGGACCAGCAGCTCCAGCACCTTTGGTACCTCCAGCTCCAGCAGTAACTCCAGCACCTCCAGGACTAGTAGCTCCAGCACCTCCAGCTCCAGTGCCTCCAGCGGCATGGCCTCCAGCTCCTGCAGCACCACTCCTAAGGCGTGTGCGCCGAGGCAACCACTCGCGCAGCTACCGCGGTGTGAGAGGCTCCCGACGGCGAGACTGTCGTGGCGAGGCACCCGCAGGACCTCCGGCAAACACAGTACCCCTAGGCTTAGCACCCCCAGACTCCGCACCCTCAGACTCAGCACCCCCACGCTCCGCACCCTCGGGCTCAGCACCCCCAGGCTCCGCACTCGCAGGCTCAGCACCCCCAGGCTCCGCACTCGCAGGCTCAACACCCCCAAGCTCCGCACTCGCAGGCTCAGCACCCTCAAGCTCCGCACCCGCAGAATCAGCACCCCCAGACGCAGCACCCCTAGCAGCACCACCCCCAGCAACACCAGAGTCTACAGTGACCTCAACATGCTCAGCCAAGGGGAGTGGGTCTACCTGAGACACACCTGAGGGAGCAGGACGCTGAGGGGGGAGGGGGTCTATCGGAGGGGGACCTGGAGCGAGGAAAAGCGGCGGGGGGGGAGAGGGGCAGTGCGGTAGGGGAAGAGACGATAAAAGGGAACCGACTCGTCAAATTGTGACGTCCTGAGAGGACAGGACACGGTGCGAGGTGGGGTGGTAAAACTGCCAGCCAGTCGCACCAGGGGGAAAGCCAAGGAAGACGCGGGGATTGGCGCGGGAGGAGAGCTTGTTTGCAGAAGTATCGCGGACAAAGGCATGAGAGCCCCAGAGCCGGAACACCGACGCAAAGCCAACCTTCCCCGTCCAACGCAATGTAGGCGAGGTCTCTGGCAAGGAGACACGGGGCCAGAGGTTGAGCTGATGCGCAGCGTACCGGACCGCAAACGGCCACAGAAAATGGGGAGCAGCCGCATGATCATAGAGGTACAAGCCACCTCCATGACTAAGCCAATGCGGCGATCAGCAACCCCATTTTGCTGCGGGGAGGCCGGAAGCGTGAACAACTGGAGTATGCCCTCCCCACGACAAAAGTCCCGCAAGAGGTCTGAGGAGAACTCACCACCTCTGTCAGAGTGCAGACGCAGGACAGGAAGGTCCTCACGGAACCGCTCGCGGAGATGGAGACGGACTGCGCAGATACAAGGGATCAAGACATCAGGGACCTCATCCTTGCTGCACAAGGGGAAGACCGTGGTGTAACACATGTAGTTGTCAGCAACCAGCAGAAATTAGCACTCGCGGCCCTCTCCATTGACACGGGCTGGGCCCCACACGTCCATGTGGAGAGTCTGCAGGGGAGCAGTCGTCGGGGGAAATGAGGAGGAGTGAGGAGCGGCGCGCTGCCACCCCTCGACGCAGGGAAGGCAGGGCGGGGCAGGCGAGGGCGGGAGGGGAGGCAGAGACCTGGGAAGACCAGAAAAAAGGAGGCGGGAGTGCATACCACAAAGGCGTGGCAGGGAGGGGTGACCAAGGCGGTGGTGCCAAAGGAGAGTCTGGTGCGACAGGAGGCGACACGAGCAGGGGGCTGCTACCGGACCTGACGCGGACACCTGACCAAACGCAGCTACCTAAGGAGGCTCAGTAGTCTATGTGTACAGACTCGAGCCAGGCCAACGGGTGAACGTGGCCAGGTGACGGCCCGTCCGTGTACACGTGCAGATCGACACACGCTTACCCCCAGGAGTGGTGGTAGTGACCATCGCATCCTGGAGGGCAGCGGTACTCACCAAGTTTGTAGAGAACGAGTGGAGGTGAAGACCTGAGAGTGAGCCGGACGGAACCGCCGGACACAGGAGAACAGTGGAGGAACGTGTCAAACTCATATCTAGCTTACATTGTGTAGGCTGTAGTGGGGTAGCCCATAAGGGGTATAACCCATTTAGGGTTACTACTTGTACCAAACTCTTTGCTAGTTCATTCATTCTCGTTCAGTATTCTAACATGGTTTCAGAGCAGGTCCTTCCCTAGGACCGTTTTTTTAGGGCCCACCACAGAGCTGCCCCACTAGCTGCCCTGCCGCCCTACCCTACTGATGTGCCGCCCCTCTGGCTGCGGCACCGCCCCTAGCAGCTCGTTGCGCCGCCTTTAGCAGCCCATGAGTCGCCCTTTCAGCTAGTGCGCTGCCCCTGTAGCCCGCTCGCCACATGCTCACGGCCCGGGCGCCGCCTTTGCAGCCC